TTTGGGAGATTTGATATAGGCCAACAGTTCGTCAGCTGAAATCTCTAATGTTGGGGAAGTTGTTAGGAATGAAATGGAGGTTGACTGCATTTTCAGCAACAGCAGCCTCATGTGGACTAATCATGTTTTGTCCGAGATACTGGGAGTTGACGAAGTTTTGGCCAATCACAGCAGCCTTCTCAACAGGAGTTATCAGAAGAACCATTGAATCATCGGGACGATTCAGTGGAACCAGAGGTAGAATGGGTCTGGGCTTATTTGTTAAGATTCTGGTTTGCTTTCAGAAAGGCTTTGCACAATCTCCATCATCCTGGCCTGAATCATCTTTGTTAATAGATTACAATTGGTCTTCAAGTTAGGCAGACCAGAACACTGGTACAGCCTACGAATGGTGTTACGGAGTCTAATGAGGTCTTTAGTAGAGCTGTCAAGATTCAGAGTGTTACTCACCTGCCTGGATACTGGCACGTGTTGTTCTCTGGCCCGGGAAATCGCCTCCTCGGCGGTATGTAGACACCGGTTAACGTCTTCGGACGTCTCCGGTTGGACATCGTAGTCGATGGAAGTGTCGACGCAGTGTTGATATTGAACCCAGTTGACACGATGGTAGTTGCACCGAGAAGCTTCGAATCAGTTCACCGAGGAACCAACTTCGGCCACCACGGGATAGTGGTCCGAGCTGAGTTCTTGGTAGACAACCGGTTGTGAGATGTGGACCATGTTGCTGATGTAGATGTCGATAGTGGCGTGAGCACTGGACCGGCTCAACCGGGTGGAACTGTCCGGACTCAAGATGTTATAGTGCGCTTCCTGCAGAACGTTGTTCCGGATGGTGCCATTTTTATTGCGTCGATTGTTATCCCAAGCTTGATGTTCTGCTGCCGACCCATCCCTAATGTTAACTTGTTTGGGGCAATAAGCCGCAACGATGGTTATGGGACTGACAGGAGTAGGAATTTCCACCCCTACGGCTGCGATCAGCACTTCAGAGGTCATACTCTATGACGAAAAGACCCAGAGTGTAAATCTTGTCGTAACGGGTTTTGCAACTGCGCAAACCTGTGGCAAGCTGGGTGAATACGGGGATCAGTTGCTCCGCTGTAAACAGAGCATCTGTGTTTTCGTTCGGTGGTGGTGCATCATCGTGACGCCTTGATAGTCCTGGAGGGCGGGTGGTACTGCGGGATGCAGCCGCATACGTTTGACGACTCGAATTTGACGAAGGATTGGGCACTGCAGCGGTTAACGAGATCGAGGCAGCAGCAGCAGCAGCCAGTCGGTTGTTGAGTGGGAGTGGCGGAAGCACCAGAATCCAGTGATGGAAAAGTTCGCGAAAACTCACTATGACTCGCGAACTTTTCCCTTGGTGAACTTCGTGAAATATCGCGAACTTTTCCAACACTGCCAGAATCAGACACCATTGGCCAATGGCAGAGCAGTTCTGCCCATTGTTTTCCGCTGCCCTTCTGTGGCCTGGTTGGTTACTTGTGGAAGTCGTTTTGCGGATTGCGACGAACTTTGCTCGTTTCGGGCAGCTCTTGTTTGTGGCCCGGTGTGCGCCGGAGCTGTGTTTTTTGCCACATTTGTTTCAGCGACTGGCTATGTGGAAATTTTTGGTTCCATTCCCGATCAGTAAACAGTTCGTGCAATGAGCGACGTCACGATGTACTGGCTTGTACAATTGTGCAGATCCTTCATGCACGTTGAGTTGTTTTCGAGGTGGACCAGATACAGCTGATCACGATACTCATTAGTGGCGTCATGACGAGCCATTTTGAAAATTTGGACCAGTTTTAGGCCGTTTGCCTTCAATTCATCCGACAGTGTGTGGGTATCTATGTCAGGGAGGCCACGCAGCACCACCTTGAGCGGCTTTGTTGGCTTCGAGATTGTGGGAGAAATATTCCACCTTCAGTTTGTCCATCATGGCTTGAACCGCCTTGTAGTGTTTCATCGCCGGGACCATCAGCTTGTAGCCCTTCGTGCACAAACGGATGGTAATTTGGAGACCTTTACCAATGTAATAGTCTATAATCTCCCGCAAGCCATCCGGGAATCCCTTTACGAAAAACGGCGAAAGTGTCTCCTTCCTTTCCACCTTCGGTTCATCGCCATTTTCCAATACGGCGTAACGGTTGTTCGCCAGCAGTTTCTTCGATGCCAACTGAGCGGTCTGAGTTGTAGTCGCGTCACCACGCGGTGGTTTCCCCAGGCTAAGGCCGTGCGATGCTTCACCAAACACCACGAAAGACAGAACGCGAACACTAAATATAGCAACGAACTTTCAGAACAACTCGAGAGATTGAACTAAGAGCGAACTGAACTGCTTGACGGTCAAGCAGAGAATCATGAATACGCTCGGTATGCGTTATGCCGCGGATACACTTGCATGACAAACTATGAACATGATCATTATTAGTATAATAATTATCAGCACTATACAACAACTATACACAAACTATACAAGTGTGACCATGGATGTGCTCATAATTTATTATACAAATAATGCTCAAGCTCATAGTTTGTCATCCAAGTATCCGCTGCATTACTGGCAGATTTATACTAGCAATGGGAAAATAAATAGGCATAGTGAAAATTTTCAAGGAAGGAGGCCTGAGATCAAACTCACGACCTTCTGCTCAGTAAGCAGAAACGGTAACCACTAAACTACCGAGCCCGTCTAGGTTGTTATGGTAATCTGCAGCTACAAAAAACGAGGTTTCGTGCCAGTATGAGGAAGGACAGTTGTGGTTCTACTACACATAAATAAATACACAAGTAAAGGATAAATTTCAAGAATTTCCCGGTAGCAGTTAAAAAAACTTCTGGAGAAAGTCTGGAGAAAACTCACAGATGATTTCGAAAGAATCTTCCACAGGAAATCCAAACCACATCTGAGGGAAGTCAAAAGAAACCTCCAGGAGAAGTTGGATGAATCTTCCGGTGGAAGTCATAAGAAACATCTTAATAAAACGTGTCATGTAATTTTAAATGCTCCGAGACTGAAAAGTTCGTTACTCGACGAAAAGTACGTTTGATTGAGTTGAATTTAGCGTCTGTTATGTCTCAAATTTATGTCAAAACTGACGCTCGTATATGTCACTCTCAAAGCACTTAAATTTACATGAATTTTTCTAAGTGTGTAGAAGGCACATTCAGGGAAGTCAGAAAAAAACTTCCTAGCAAGTCTGAGTAATCTTTCAAATGAAATCGAAAAAAAACTTCCGGAGATAGTTACATAGCTTTTCCTCATCTTATTCGCATTTTAAGCTTATTTCTTATCGTTCTCAGTGTTCTATAGATGCACTTCCAACCCGAAAAATTCCTAGACCGGACCGGGAATCGAACCCAGCAACCACCAGCATGGTACTAACCTTTGTTTAGTCACGTTAACACATTCCAGGTCATTTGTATGATCTCCATCACATCACTAAACATAACCACGAGCAATGACGAGGAACTGCATCCCAAACCCCATGATAAACAAGGAGCGGATGCATCCAACGAAACTTTTAAGCGCAAAAGAATCATTTCCAACATAGGAGAAAATTCGGTAAGATCCATTGCAATATTTTATGATTCTTCAATACTGTACAAATATTTACATATTACACACAACTACATATAGTAGCTCGGAGCATTTGGTACGGTATGTCCACGCATCCTTCCACCCTTGTAGGTCCAAGAAATGTTTCCATTCATGTCCAAGAATCATCTTTGCGGCAAATACAACGCAGTAGGCCTGGCCGTATTGATGTTTATATCATATCTAAGATATGCTGTTAACGTTAATTAGACAAGAAAAATGATTAGATCTCATCTAACTTATTATTTCCCAGGATGTGATGAATGTAAGAATGGCTCCTTAGACGCAATGACATCGTATGGCAAACATCAAAAAAAGTATATGGCCATGATCGCAAGATATTCTAAGCTGTGACCAAATTCCATATATTATAGCATTACGAACTCCATTACCGACCCTATTTCTGAAATTACCGGATAAATAATGTAAAGTAAAATCATTCTAATAAATTTAAGTCCGACTTTCCACGAAATGTTGTAACAATTTCCATTTCAATAAAACATTGGCCCTGATTCACACCTACCTTGAAATATATCCTATCGTGCACGTATACCAAATTGAATGACACGTGAGAAACTTGCAGCCAGCTCACTCAAGTGTCACCCCTGAAGAGTTTGTTCCGAGTGAAGGATGAAAGCTGCGATGGGACCATTCAACCAAACACTACTTTTAGAGACTAGCATTTCCCTTGCACTGCCGAAGGCAATCCTTGATCACGCGAATGTCAGCCCTCAACGGACGGTCCGAAAAGATCAAGTTCATCAATGATCATCACGTCATTGCTGTATCTTGATCCGGTCAATTGTCAACCTCCGACCCACCATAAAGCTTCATTAACGAGTCCCTCCAATTTAGCCCAAAAACAATACAAGATCACACCGCAATGTCGTCGGAGATCGTCACCTAACCGTAACTGGCGCTCATTATGCTGCATGCACCGCATTGACAAAATTTCACGTCGTTCGATCGCCGTGACATTCGGATACAACGGGGTGGAGAGGGAGTCTTTTTACCACCACCAACCACGCGCTGCCAGTCCGTCTAACGGTCGGTCAGGTGCATGCTGCGTGTAGCTGCTTTGAAGCTCTTCATTTGGGGAGTTCCATCTCCGTTCGCGCCACTGCCCAGCGTTAGTTCCGATTCAAATCTCGACGTGTACGCGTAACCTACAGAAACTGCTGTGTGAACCTTTGAAGGGTAGATAGAAGAAAAGACGGTGGCTGTGTCTGTCTGAATAGTAAATTGTGTGTTTTTTTTTTGGTGGTGTGATTTCGCAAGTGAAGCACGGCCTATACCTACAGCAACTGGTGGAAGTTGTGCTAATTGTTTGCTTGCGAAGAATACCTGCGAAATCTTCCAGTGATGGATGTTATCTGAATAAAAGAAAAAAAAAAGGTTCGGCAAATCAAAGAAAGATGGAAGCCTACCTGAAGAACTACACTGCTGCAGAGAAGATAGCCAACGTGTTCAATGTTCTTTCGCCGGTGACGACGGTGATTCTTGTGGTGATGATCTGCGCCATCATGACCTATAAGAAGAAACGAGCTCGACTGGTGTATCACATCAATCGGATTCCTGGCCCAATTATGCTGCCCATAGTTGGGAACGGATTGCACGTTACGCTGGGCTGCAAAGATGGTGAGTCGCCCCTTCGCATTGACGGATGATGGGATGGAAAATGCAAACCAAATTACAATCATGATGTCGAAATTCTATGCAATCTTGGGCGGGGGCAAAGCGAACGGGGTGTAATGCGGTACAGTGAATGCGTTGTTTGCGCGGGTGTAGCAAAGGAGGGTCATTGTTAGGGTTACCATATATTAGTAGACTGATGCAAAATTTGAAATTTTTGCTCCATAGTGCTCAAACGGTTTCAAATTGGGCCCTGATTAGCCTCCCAAAATTTGAACTCATTTAGTGAGAAACTGACTTGGCACAAACCATTTGAAGCTCATATGGGAATTACTATAGAGAAACGATAATTTCGGTTCACATCGATCTCAAAATTCACCAGTTCATTCTACTTTAGAAAATGATGGCTTAGCTTGTTGAAAGTTTTCTCAGCTACAACTTTGTTGTATCACTTTTCGATCAAATGTAAGGAACAAAAGTTATAAATGATTCAAGTCACTAATGTCTTATGATTATGCTCAATCAACTGTTCAGCAGGCAACATTGGTGTTTATGGCGCGTAGAATAGAGGACAAAAATCATGGCTACTATGTCACACTGCAGAATACAGTGTTGCCCACAAAACAGTTGCTTGATCATGCCATAAGATTATCAATCTCTTAAATAATTAATAACTATTTAATTTGATGTTTGGCTGAAAACCAATATTGCGCAAAGTTGTAGCTGATAAAAATTCCCATAAGACTAGCAATAGAATTTGTTAACAGAACAATATGTAAAAAGGCTAGAAGACAATGGACAACAAGTTTTGTTTTCCCATAGTAATTTCCATATAAACTTCAAATGGTTTGTGCCAAGTCAGTTTCTTATCAAATAAGTTTAAACTTTCGGAGGCTAATCAGGACCCGATTTGAAACTGTTTGAACACTGTGGAGCGAAAATTTCAAATTTTGCATCAGTCTAATATGTCCTACTTTTTCATGGACATGTCCTACTTTTTCAATCATTTTTCTACATCCTCCTTTTACCCGAAAATGTCCTCCTTTTCAATCCTTGCATTTTTTCCAGTATCATATTCATAAAATTGTTTTCAAAAAGCGTTGTTTGCAGAGCTTATTGGTTTAATTATGTCGCAACCTCATCTTATATAGCAAATGCCATTCGATGGAGGAACTAGGAGTATACTACAGCTGTCAACCCCCCTACGTTTAGGCTGCGATCCATTTGGTGAATTTTAACTTATATTTGAAAGATGGAAAATTTTCAAATAAACCAGCTATTCTACCAGACTTATTTCAGACAAATCAGGAATCAATTTTGACAAACAATTTATCGAAAATCGGAGATTAACAACAGAGGGATTTTCGAACATGTTAATTTATTTTCGAAGTCTCAGTAAAAATTCATCAAATGGAACACAGTTCTAGGCTGTGTTCCATTTTTCTGAATTTTTACATAAATTTGACATTTCGAAAATAAATTATAATGTTCAAAAATCTCTCTGTTGTTGATCGTGTGATTTTCGAGGTGTTTGTCAAAATTGATTCCTGGTCTGCCAGAAATAAGTCTGGTACAATAGCAGGTTTATTCGAAAATTTAATATCTGTAAAATTTAAGATAAAATTTACCAAATGGAACACAGCCACACAGATTGAATCCAACATGTGTTTGATTTTGACGTTCTGGTTCTATGGAATTTTAGGTATTTCAAGCATAACTATTCAAATCAACGTATCTGATTTTGTAAACAATCACTTCAATCAACGATTTGTGGAAACTGCAAGCTCCATGTTGGTTTCAATCAGCGATGACATGTATCCTGATTTTTGAAGATGATAAAAGTTAGGATGGTTTTAAGGCTGTAAAGCTGTAGTTTTCATGCAAATCTGCTAGACTAGATCATTTCCAAGTATCAAAAAAGAATTATGAAAGCTAGTTTGATGTATTTTTCAGAAGTATAACGAGAAAGTTATGAACAATGTCAATTGAACCTTTGCAAATCATGAATTTTGTGATAGCGCACATATTATTAAAACGTTTGATAAAAACTAATTGTCCTCCTTTAATGTTAAGAAAAGGAATCATTGTCCTCCTCACATTACAGACTATATCACGTAATCAAGGCTGTCTTGCAATGAGCACTCATACAAAGGATTTCCACTAGATGTATGAAACTAGATGTATGAGTGCTCATTGCCAGGCAGCGTATATCACGTGATATACGCTGTAATGTGAACGGGGTATTAATCTCCACAGCTCAAATAAAATGTGCTCCTTTTCAAGTTTTTGATATGGTAGCCCTAGTCATTGTTGTTTCAATTTACGACCAATTCAAGATATTTACTTGAACCAGCAGCAAGACTTTCTTCCATCTGGTACCGTAAAACGGGGGGAAGTTGATCCCTTTTTTACCGATAAACCTAAATATTTTTCCAGCAATTTGGAAGGCACACAAACTAAAACCTCTCTAAGCTTGATGCTTTTCTGCTTAAATGCTTTTCTAATGTGTAGATGTAGGTTTAGGTTTGCATGTTTAGTTGATTTTTCAGAATTAAAATAAAATTTAAATGCAAAATTTCAACTCTGGGGTGATGTTGATCATGTAGGTTTTTATGCAAAAGAAGGCATTTATACTTGATGTGTGTTTACTGAAGAAGAACCAGGTGATAAAATGTCTACAAAAGTTGTAGTTTGCGATAAAACAACATATTTTATAGAAATTTTTTAAAGTACTCCTAAATATAGGCAATTCATATTAGTTTTCACATTAAATTGTATGATATTAACACTTCAAATACGATGCCTCCAAAAAGCGTGTAACGGCAAGTTTGGGGCCTCCTGTAGCTCAGTCGGTAAAGGCACAGCTACAAAGTAAGATCATGCTGGAGGTGGCTGGGTTCGATTCCCGGTCCGGTCTAGGAATTTTTCGGGTTGGAAAATTTCTCGACTTGCCTGGGCATAGAAGTATGATTGTACTTGCCACACAATCATACCAATGCAAAAATGGTACAGGCATCGAAAGCTCTCAATTAATAACTGTGGAGGTGTATCTAGAACACTAAGCTAAGAGCACGCAATAAGCTAATATGCGATATGCAATAAGCTTGAAATGCGAAAAAGAAGAAGAAGGCAAGTTTGCAATGGCACTACTTAGCCATTTCTTGATGAATTTTAAAAAAAAAATGGTATCTCTAGAATTCCTAGGGTCTCTGGTTATTTTGAACGTAAAAATATTGGAATTAGGGTCGGCTACTGTTTTTAAAAGCGAAAAGAGTCGTTACACGTTTATTTAAGGGTGTGTTAATGGGTTTTGCAAGTGGCTTAAGGGCTATAATTTAGACTAATGGTGAAGACAACAAATCAAGAAGACTGGCAACTCTTCCATTTTCTTATACGAACGCTATGAGTCAGGTACAATCGCGTCATCTGCCGCTCAAAGGTAAATGCTTCGAACGAATTTGTTAGCAAAAATTACATCCTCAGAAGAAGGGTTTGTGTATTTCTAGATAGAGCTAGAATTAGGGCGTAACAGCCTTTGTAAACAATGACTTCTCTCGTTGATTTCTCGGAATTCAAGGCACGCCTACACAAACCAATATATCCATTGGGTAGGAGAAGTCTTCCTCTACTCGATGGTGATGTTGATTTGCCAGAGAGAGCCATGACTTCCGAGAAATCATCGAGAGAAGTCATTGTTTACAAAAGCTGTTACGCCCTAATTCCAGCTCTATCTAGATTTGCTCATTTTTGTATGCGTTACTTCCCCCTTCACTCAAGCGCAGCGCTATAGTATCTGTCGCTTGGATTCTGGCAAAGTTGCCAGTCTTCTTGATTTGTTGTCTTCGCTAATGGGCACAAATGTTAATAATTAGCTAGAATACAGCTTTTAATGCGGCGGCAGCGAATAATTCGCCGCGTTTTAAATGCATGGCGGCTTACGGAAGCGCTCAAACCAACGCGGCAAGTTGACGCTGTTCACGCGCTTTTGCGTTCGCTTTCAATTCGCTGTCTGCAGCGTTTTTGCCGCCGAAGAAGCGCGGTCGAAGTGATTTTCAGGTGATAAAAAATGAAAAAACGGAAACCTTAATAGAATTGGTTCAAAACTATTTTTTTTTTTCAAAGATGTCTGAACTTGTAAATCTAATTTACTGCTCCCTGAAATTTTACCAAGATATCAGACTATCATTAGAATTTCTACAATATTCCACTCTACAAAACTCCCTGAATACCCCCAAATTCTCCAAATTCTGGTAGAGCTTCTATGTAGTCCCAGGAAATTCTACAAATCCCTTGCACTACTTGGAATTCGCTCAACTTTGTACAAGTTGGGTCGGTAAACTGCTATAAACTCACTGCCCTTCAAAGAAGCTTCCGGAGGAGAAATCTAACGTATTTGTGAGGACAGTTGACCACCCACGATTTGTACAATTGCCTATGCTATGCTAAATCTAAGGAATATGTTAGTAGAACTACATTTAATTATAAGGAGAATTTAGAAACTGTAAGTTGAATTCCAAGAGAAGGAGAAAATCCAAAGAGATTTTAGAAATAAATTGAATTCAAAGGTGAGTTCCGGAGAAGCATTAAGCCGAACTAAAGATTTTATCCTGAGAAAATTCATCTGAAATATCGGGAGAATACTAAGAGTGAACTCAATAGACTGTCCGAGAGTTCAAAATTCTTCGAGAAAATCGAAAGGGATACCAGCATACTCAGAAATTATCGTAAACACCCAAGACAGCAGTATGATAATTCTTCTGGAAATCATCAACAGCTCAATACGCCACAGGTATGAAGTTCTTCACATTTCCCTGAAGTTCTACGAATTTTTTTGATATTCTATGAACTTCTTTGAGCTTGCACAAGCTCCTCGGAAGACATGTTTTTCAATCTTTAACTTGAATTTCAACAACTTTCCTGAAGTTCTGTGAGCTTCCCTTATGTTTTGCAAATTTCTCTGATGATCTATCAACATTTCTGAAGTTCTGTGAACCTCTTTGAAATTT